ATCTGCCTCCCCCCTGCCCAACACCAAAAAAAGAAAAGTCTAAGACTAGATGGCTTCACTGGTGAATTCTACCAAACATTTAAAGAAGAATTAATACCAATCCTTCTCAGACTCTTCTGGAAGATACAAGAGGATGGAACACTTCCAAACTCATTTTATGAGGCCAGCATTACCCTGATACCAAAACCAGACAAGGGCACTAGAAGAAAATAAAATTACAGGCCAATATCCCTGATGAACATAGATACAAAAATCCTCGACAAAATATTAGCAAACTGATTTCAACAGTACATTAAAAGGATCATAAGCCATGATCAGGTAGGATTTATTCCAGGGATGCAAGGATGGTTCAACATCTTCAAATCAACTAATGTGATATACCACAGTAACAAAAAGTATAAAACTCATATGATCATCTTGATAGACACAGAAAAAGCATTTGACAAACTTCAATATCCATTCATGCTAAAAAATCTCAACAAACTGGGTATAGAAGTGTATCTCAACATAATAAATGACAAGCCCAAATCATACAAGTATAACATCATACTCAGTGGTGAAAAGCTGAAAGCTTTCCCTCTAAGATCAGGAACAAGACAAGGATGCCCACTCTCATTTTTATTCAACATAGTATCAGAAGCCCTAGCCAGAACAATGAAGCATAAATAAAAGGCATCTATGTCAGAAAGGAAGAAATAAAATGGTCTCTATTTGCAGATGACATGATATTATATATAGAAAACTCTAAAGAATCTACCAAGAAAACTGTTAGAAACAATAGATGAATTCAGTAAATTTACAGCATAAAAATCAATATACATAAATCATTTGCATTTCTATATACTAACAATGAACTCTCAGAAAGATAAATTAAGAAAACAGTTCCATTTACAATAGCATCAATGAGGTGCCTGGGTGACTCATTTGGTTAAGTGTCCAACTTTTGATTTTGGCTCAGATCATGTTATCACAGTTTGTGAGTGTGAGCCTTGCGTTGGGCTCTGTGCTGACAGTGCAGAGCCTGCTTGGGATTGTCTGTCTCTCTCTCTCTTTGCCCTTACTCTGATATCTCTTTCTCTCTCAAAAAGAATAAATGAACCCTTAAAAAATTTTTTTTAATGTTTATTCATTTTTCGAGAGACAGAGAGAAACAGAGCATGAGAGGGGAGGGGCAGAGAGAGAAAGAGACACAGAACCCGAAGCAGGATCCAGGCTCTGAGCTGTAAGCACAGAGCCCGATGCAGGGCTTGAACCCATGAACCATGAGATCATGAACTGAGCCAAAGTTGGATGCTCAACTGAATGAGCCACCCAGGCACCCCAATAATCCCCCCCCTTTTTTTTTAAAGAGTAAAATAGGAATAAATTTAACGAAGGTGGTGAAAGATCTGCACGCTGAAAACTGTAAGACATTGATAAAAGAAATTGAAGAAGACACAAATAAGTAGAAAGATATCCCATATTCATAGATTGGAAGAATTAATATTGTAAAATTTTCACATTGTCATTTCAGACTACAATACAAAGCTATAGTAATCAAAACAGTATGGTAGTGGTATAAAAACATATAGACCAATGCAACAAAATTGAGAACCCAGAAATAAACCCATACATATATGGCCAATTACTTTTTGAGAAAGGAGCCAAGAATATACAATGGGGAAAGGACAGTCTTTTTAATACCTGGTGTTGGGAAACTAGACCCCTATCCTATACCATAAATGAAAATCAACTCAAAATGAATTAAATACTTAAATTTAAGACCTGTAACTGTAACACTCTTAAAAGAAAACAGGAAAACAGGAAGTAAGTTCTTTGGCATCAGTGTTGGAAATAACTTTTTGGATATGATACTAAAGCAGAGGCAGCAAAAGCAAAAATAAACAAGTGAGACTACATCAAACTAAAACTGCACAGCTAAAGAAACCATCAATAAAATGAAAAGGCAGCTGACAGAATGGGAGGAAATATTTGTGAACCATCTACCTGATAAAGGGTTGATATTTAAAATATATAGAGAGCACATACAACTCAATAGCAAAAAACCAAACATTCCAATTAAATGGGCAGAGGAACTGAATAGACACTTTTCCAAAGAAGATATACATATGGTGAACAGAACGTGAAAAGATGCTCAACATCACCAATCATCAGGGAAATGCAAATCAAAACCACAAAGAGATATCAACCTCACAGCTGTTAGCATGGCTGTCATCAAAAAGACAAGAGAGGGGCATCTGGGTGGCTCGTTCGTTAGGCATCTGTTGATTTTGGCTCAGGTCATGGTCTCACAGTTCTGTAAGATCAAGCTCTGTGCTGACAGCACTCAGCCTCCTTGGGATTCTCTCTCTCCCTCTCTCTCTACCCCTCCCTCTCTCTCTGCCCCTCTCCTGCTTGCGTCCTCCCCTCTCAGATACTGAAAAATAGACATTAAAAAAAAAGACAAGAGAAAACAAAGGGTTGGCAAGGATATGGAGAAAAGGGAACCCTTGTGCCATGCTGTTGGGAATATAAATTGCTTCAGCTGCTATAGAAACCCTTATAGAGGTTCCTCAAAAAACTAAAAATAAAACTACCATGTGATCCAGCATTTCCATTTCTAGGTAAAAAGCTAAAGGAAATGAAACAAGATATCAAAGAGATAATCTGCACTTTCATATTTATTGCAGCATTATTTACAATAGCCAGGATATGGAAACAACCGAAATGTCCATCAATGGATAAAGGAAACATTTTATATAATGCGGTGTATATAAATTGATGTATACCTTTCCATAATTATTTAAATACAGATTGTAGGTATTTTAAATGAAAATAGGATCACACTGTAAAAATGTTTATAACCTATTCTTTATACTCCGCAATATACTATAAACAAAAATCTGCTCACCAAATGTCACAAATGTCTGTTACAAATGTCACAAAGCTAAGAGGAAGAGCCAGTATATTAAAAAAATTAGAATCTGGAACAATCTAGAAAGAACAAGCTAAATTAACAAGAATAATTTTAACAGGGATACATTTAAAGTTTTGAATTTAGGTTGAGGACCTATAGGTATGAATTGCCTACAAACACTGAATCAACAATGTCACTTGCTTTCCAACAGCTAATGTCAATTTCTAACAAAACCATGATATCTAAAATAGGAAGGACAAGATCCCACTTACAGGCTGTGTTAGTCTGAGCCACCCATGCGCCCTGGGAATATTATCATTCTAAGTACCATTTGTGCATAGTGGCAAGCTAACAAAGGGGAGAGAAAAACCATAAAACTTGGTTTGGTTTTATAAAGTAACACTAATTAGGGTTATTTATGTGAAGTTTTATCATTTGTTCCTAATTACCATGCATTAAAATAATGATTAAGACAGTAAATAATTGCATCAGACTTATGTTTTTGTAAGTTTTATTCAATTATGATTTATAATAATGTATCAGTCCTTACTTTTGATAGAAATTTAACACTATAGTTTGATCACAACTTGTAGAACCTTGTTGAAGGAACATTGCTTACATTCCGGAAAAGAAAGTTTAGATTAACAGTTGTCTCGTGGTTACCAAAGTTAAGTTTATCCCTCTTTAGCTAGTAGGACTTGATAGTAGGTGAAATTGAATGACACAAGCATGCTAAGCAAGTTTAAAAGTAGAGGATTGAAAGATTGTCAATGATCAGCACAAGATATTAATATAAATTTATTATCATAATTATAGAGCTTCCAGGTACTACAAAAAGCAAGACTTAGACCAAAGTGCCTTAGTGTGAATAAATAAAACTATTTAGCCTGAAAAACATTCTTTACTGTTGTTAAGGATGATCAGTCATACTCCAAGAATACAAATAATTGCCATAAATAACATGTTATAATTATCTTAAAAATATATTCATAAATATATATGTACATAAATAATAAATACTTTACACTTGACTTCTTGAGGCTCAAAATTTTCATTCAAAAAGCATTTTACTAAACTGATCTCATTGATTGGCATAAAATACTGTTGAGGCAGGAAAGGTATAAGTATCACCCCCTCCATTTTGAAGATAACCAAACTAAGTCCCAGAAACTTATAGTATTTGATTAAGGGTCCATCAGCAACTTAAAGGCAAGCAGTTGGAATGAAATCCTGGGCAAATGGCTTCTCATTCCAACTGCTGTGTGGGTATTTCTTATGCCTCACTTACTTAACCCATATGTAATATGGGTAGAGTCTTTTTGGTAGCCATATCAAGTAGCCCTAGTTCTCCCAAGATTGTTATGAAGAAGAATAATTAAATTGATTGGTGGTTTGCAAAGTATAGGGTATTCTTTTTTTTTTTTTTTTAATTTACATCCAAATTAGTTAGCATATAGTGCAACAATGATTTCAGGAGTAGATTCCTTAGTGCTCCTTACCCATTTAGCCCATCCCCCTTCCCACAACCCCTCCAGTAACCCTCTGTTTGTTCTCCATATTTATGAGTCTCTTCTGTTTTGTCCCCTCCCTGTTTTTATATTCTTTTTGTTTCCCTTCCCTTATGTTCATCTGTTTCGTCTCTTAAAGTCCTCATATGAGTGAAGGCATATCATTTTTGTCCTTCTCTGACTAATTTCACTTAGCATAATACCCTCCAGTTCCATCCACGTAGTTGCAAATGGCAAATGGCAAGTATATTGTATATAATACAATATACTCCATTGTATATATATATACACCACATTTTCTTTATCCATTCATCCATCAATGGACATTTGGCCTCTTTTCATACGTTGGCTATTGTCGATAGTGCTGCTATAAACATGGGGATGCATGTGTCCCTTTGAAACAGCACACCTGTATCCCTTGGATAAATGTCTAGTAGTGCAGTTGCTGGGTCGTAGGGTAGTTCTATTTTTAGTTTTTTGAGGACCCTCCATACTGTTTTCCAGAGTGGCTGCACCAGCTTGCATTCCCACCAACAATGCAAAAGAGATCCTCTTTCTCCGCATCCTCGCCAACATCTGTCGTTGCCTGAGTTGTTCATGTTAGCCATTCTGACAGGTGTCAGGTGATATCTCATGGTGGTTTTGATTTGTATTTCAAGTATAGGGTATTCTTTAAATAACAAACAACATTATATGTTGATGTTGGTTCCATTAGAGCTTGCTCACTCTCTTACAAAGAGAGTAAACATTCATTTAGAATTACAAAGGCTCAGCACATGCTCATCAAGTGACTAAGAGTAAAAGATTTGACTCCTCCATGTACATAGTACATATGGACTGTAAACACTTCACAAGTAAGTAGACTCCAGAGTCAAGACTGGGTTTCCAGTATCTGAAAGTCAGTGACAGAGGGTAGCCCTCTTGCCATGTGCACCAGTTTTTCTTCCTGTGTGGCAATGAACAACTTTGGATGGGCAACTGATTTGAAGTAGTTCTTACTGCCATGACGTTCCCAGAAGAAGAGAAGGTTGGTCTCATCTCTGATGGTTTTGGGTGTCTCAGGCATCTCCTGTAATTAGGAGAACAGAGATATGTTAGAAAACAAGATTCTAGACAAAGAACTGAAGTGCAATCCCTTGACATTTGGCCTTTGTAAGAAATATAGCACTTTAGGACTGTGACTCTGTAATGTGATGATATAGGTTCTTCACTCATTTATTCATTCAGCAAGCATCTATTACATGCCTGTTAGATGTATGGCCAGTCTACACCATATACACACTTAATAGCTAACTTCCTTAAGTAACTGGAGAGAAATCCAAATTATTCATGAGGATTGCCAATGACAGTCGTGTCTTACCGTATCCTGGAAGGTAGGGTAGAACATTGTTCTTGTCCTGCCTTCAACATAAGCATAAGGCATTTTGCATAAAATCTGAGCACTAGCAATTCTGAGACCTCTAAACATTTTGACCTCTAAGTGTGCTGATCATATCTTTGGGAAAACAATTTATTATTAGAGATGTTTATCTCCATATTTAAGCTAACAATTAAAAGTTTAAAAAACCCAAAACACGCACACACACACACATTTCCAAGTGTAACAGCAACTAACTCCATGACAATTGCGATCTCTTTTTTTTAATAATTTTTTTTTCAACGTTTTTATTTATTTTTGGGACAGAGAGAGACAGAGCATGAACGGGGGAGGGGCAGAGAGAGAGGGAGACACAGAATCGGAAACAGGCTCCAGGCTCCGAGCCATCAGCCCAGAGCCTGACGCGGGGCTCGAACTCACGGACCGCGAGATCGTGACCTGGCTGAAGCCGGACGCTTAACCGACTGCGCCACCCAGGCGCCCCTGACAATTGCGATCTCTTTAGACTGTACTATTCTTGCGAGTATGAATAGAATCTAACAGTACTTTCATGGAAAAGTAAAATTCAAATTTCAACTTGATACGCTTCTTCTGTGCTCTTTTTAATCTAAAGCAACCGATTATAACTGGGTGGCTCAAGTCAGTTAAGTGTCGGGCTTCAGCTCAGGTCACGATCTCACCGACCTTGAGTTCGAGCCCCGCGTCGGGTTCTGGGCTGATGGCTCGGAGCCTGGAGCCTGCTTCCAGTTCTGTGTCTCCCTCTCTATCTGCCCCTCCCCCGTTCATGCTCTCTCTGTCTCAAAAATAAATAAAACATTAAAAAACAAATAAAGCAACCGATTATCCTTTTGAGGTTTCCTTGGGGTTTTCAATGCCAACAAGGAATTTATTTCCCAAACCCGTTCCTCTCCTACTTTTTCCCCATCTAAGTAAATGTATTTTCTCTCCTACCTCCTGTTGCTTCTATCTCTGAAACATAACCGTTTCTGTCTACTTCTTTTTATCTGCCTCACCACCCCCAGTTCCATGATTGTTATTATTACCTCCTATTTGAGCTTTGTGCTTTCTTCATTGCCTTCTTGGTGATCTATTCTCTAGTTTAGAAAATATAAGTGAGGTGGGGACACTTCCCTGTTTGAAACCTTTTAATGACTTTTCATTGTACCTCAAATGAAACCCAAATGCAAGGCTCCACAAACACTAGCCTCCGCTTATCTTTCCTCCTTCTCACAGTGCCTCAGTTCTACAATGTTCCTTCTGGTCTCTGAAGGTGGCCTTTAAACTCTTGAAGGTATAGAGCCCAGATGCACTCAGATCCCTCTGTTTAGAATGCCCATGTTTACCTGCCCCCTTGCAAGGCATGCTCCTATCAGATCTCACAGGGAGCTCTGCTCTTGCCTCCCTATGTAAAGAGTACTCTCCCATTTTTCTCTATCTCAGCACCCTTTTCATTTGCTTTACAGCATCTTTTACTTTTTGCTGTTTTTTTTGGCTTGTCTACTGTCTGTGTCCCCCAGAAGACCAACTTCTATAAGGCTAGGGATTTTGGCTCACCACGGTCTACGTAGCTGTTGGCACTATGTTTGAAAAATAGAAGGCTCTCAATAAATGATGACTGTTGAATGAATTCATGAAGGAAGATACTGCCCTCGTCTGTAGATATCATTTTTACCTTACTTAACCCATGTGGAGAAATACATGCACCCACAAAAATCCTGGTTGGAGTTGGGGGTTTGCATTATACATTTACTAAATAAGAGTCACCTCTTATCAGTGGAGAAAACATCTAAAGGCTATCGTGGGTGTGTGTGTGTCTGTATGCTTGAGGGAAAGGTGGTAGTGGAGATGGGGCTGGGATGAGGGATAATGCTGGCACCAATGAAGAGAGAGAGGCAATAGAGTCAAAGGCCAGGGTTTCAGTCTTGGCTCCCAGATTTTTGCTTGTGCCCAATGGCAGGTGATTCATACTGTCTGCTCCCAGTTGGCTTTTTTGAGTTTCTTAGAAGCAGGCCCCATTGTCCTAAGGCCTACCATCATATAGCTCAGATGGTAGAGTTCAAGATGGGTAGAATAAATGGATGCCCTGGGATGGGAAGTGACTAGGATCAGGTAGGGTAAGGACAAAGAAGGAAGAAGGTAATTTCCCTTTTATTCACTCTTGCCATTTTTACTTTCTCATAGATCCTGCGTAGAAGCGCCTCTGGGGAAAGGTGAGAATTAGCAGGTAGGGACAGGTGGACAGGTGGAAACTGTGGTAGGAAGAGAAGAGGACTGTGCCACCCTGCTAGGGGTGTCTGTCTATTGGAATCAGTCACAAACATATGGGATGTAAATGAAGGTCAATTGGAGACTGAGGACGACTGACCTTTAGCAATACAGGCTCATCTTCATTTTGGGCACTCACAAACAGTCGAGTTTTTGAGATTCTGAGAGTCACAGGAAGTTTAGAATCTTCTTTTGATGTATAAGCCCCCATGTCAAATTTCACTGGCAAAGAAAAAAGCCAAAAAAGAAAGTAAATCCATTGTACTTGAATAAAATCCCATGTTATGTAAATTGTGTGTGTGTGTGTGTGTGTGTGTGTGTGTGTGTGTGTGTGTGTGTAGTTAGGTCCCCAACTATGATGTAAACACCAGAATGAAATTCCATAGATCTTTGTATCCTTCACAATGTCTGCCGCTTTTACTGGACAGGTAAATACTTGGTTGATGTCTTCAGAATTTTCTATGTTGAATGAATGCTTGGGGGCTATTTGTTGAATCTCTTGTAATTACATTAGTGGGACAAGACTCTTCAACTTGTGAGCCCATGAGTTCATTATAACCTAAAGTGGAGGGGTTTGAGGAAGCTGATACGATCATGTTACTAGTGCTAGTGAAAAGTAGTTGTTTTCCTCAGAGAACAATGCTTAATAAGAGCTGGATAATTATTCACTCCTAGGAACCTAAGAGTTCCTTTTTTGGGATATGCTCCAAAGAAATAACCTCCTAGGGAAAAATTATATATACAATAATCTTTGCAATAGAATTACTTGGAGCAAACCTAAGGGACCAGCATAGCAACATGATTGAATATTCTAGTGCCATTAAAATGGCAAATATATATACTATTTCAATATGTGGGAAAATTACATGAGATAATATTAAGTAGGAAAATAGAACACAAAATAATTTGTAAATGTCTGAGTGGAAAGTATGTTGTCTGAAGTATGTCCAATTAGAAGGAGCCCCGTTTGTTTATTGCCAAGTAGCCCGTGTGGAGCTCTGAAAATAATTTTGTATGCTGATGACATGTCCTGAAGCTAAAATATGTACAACATGGAAATTGGATTTGTGTGGCTAAGTTTCTTGGACACTAAGTTTCATCCTCCCCAAAATATTCTCAGCTTATTGGATGTTTCGCTTCACAGTTATGTTATCAGAGATGATGATTCTTTTTAGTTGGTGCTTATTTCTAAGTTTGATCAGCAGGCTTTCTAATGCAGAGTGATTGCCCCTCATTGGCTTCTGGGTAACTTTGGGCAAGTCATTTCATATTTCTGGGAGTCAGTTTCCTCATCTTTAAAACTGAGGAGAAGACTATCTAAGAGAACCAAAGGAGATACTACATCAGAAAGCTTACCACTCAGTGCTCCCAAAGAAAGGAAACTTCTCTCTTTGTGGAGCTTCCTGATTTGGCGGAAGCTCCCGTCCTTGCCCAGGATTTTACTGCGGGGTGTTGTGCTTCATCCTATTCTAGAAGGATTGTGCAAAGCCAGAAATCTAGAGAGGTCTATATTTTGAAAGTACAAAGCTTGAAAGAAATACAGAAATAAGAGGAGGGGAGGAGGACAGAGTTGTGTCCACTTACCTGCATCATCCAGATTCTGTAATGCAGCGGCTGCGAGGTATTTTCCCCCTGCTTTTCGAATTACACTTTGACTGAGGTTGTCATTCAGGATGAATTGGGATTTGATGATCTTCTGATAGTTGTATTTTTCACTGCTATAGAAGTTGGGTGCTACTGATCTGGGCTTCATGATTTCTAAAACCATTATCACAAGCTCAGATTGATGTCTTTGTACAAACACAGATGATATTTCTACTCTAATACAAGCATCAAAAGTAGCTATGGAAGAGACATTAAGAATATTCCAATCCAGATGAAGAAACAGAGAGAAGCGAAGCCACCCAGTCAGCGGAGTTGGTTCTAGGATTATCTTTGTGATTACTTATTTCTTTTTAAACTTCAACTCCTTAGGCAGTATTTTTTTTTAAAAGAGATCATTTGTGAAGTATTTTCATTTTGGTTGTTTGGAGGTTTCTAAGAAACCAGGAAGACTGCTAACATTCACCATCTATATTTTTCAAATGAATATACTCTGAGAAAAAATGAATATGTTAAGAATTCTATGTCACTGGACATGCAGGTCTAAATGTCTACCCCCCTTTCTGAATAGTGGATATATCAGTAGTTTCACAAATCCTCATGGCTCTGAGTAAGTTTACATCTAGTAATCTATTCCAAGGAAATAAATAGTGTTAAAAACGAAGATTTACTGGGGCTTCTGGGTGGCTTAGTCAGTTAAGCATCCAACTGTTTCAGCTCAGGTTATTATTTCATGGTTCATGAGTTTGAGCCCCATGTCGGGTTCTGTGCTGACAGCACAGAGCCTGCTTGGGATTCTCTCTTTCTCCCTCTCTCTGCCCCTCCCCTGCTCTCTCTCTCTCCAAATAAATAAACTTTTTTTAAAAAAGTAAAAAAAAAAAAGACGATTTATTGATATGGATGTTCATTGTTATATTACTTATAATGTTGAAAAATTGGTACTCTAGAATGCCCTTGATATATTGCTAAGTGAAAAAAGCTGACTATAAAATTGTATATGATATAATCCTAATAATTGTTCATATGTGTGTATGTACCTAGAAGAGACTTTAAGGAACATACCATAGTGGTGGCAGTGGTAAACTCTTAGCATGAACTATTTTTATTTTCTGTTTTACATTTTCTTGTATCTTCCAGTTTTCTGGCTGAATGTGTATTAGTGTTTACCTGTTATCTTAAAAAGCTATTATCTGAAAAATATTGGGCTTATGTTTCATGTAGAGGTTTGTATAGTAGACGCATGGGAGAATAGTCCTAAGTGTTATAATCAGAACTGAATTTGGTTTAAAGCTCTCCCGCTTACACACTATGTGACTTACCTAACTGAGCTTAGTTTCCTCATCTGTCAAATGAGAATGTAAGATTGTCATAAAGTGTAGAGATAATGCAGCCATTAACCAATTAGCAGTACTGGTAGTATTAACAAAGGTAGTAGTAAGTAGGAGGAATAGGAGTAGGGGTAATGGCAATACCTAACATTTAGTGGGTATTTCCATGCCAGGCATTATTCTAGTTCAGCAGCTTGCAAGTATTGACTCATTTAATTTTAACAAGTAGGGACTCTGATCATCTCCATTTTACAGTAGAGGAAACTGAAGCACAGAAAGGTTAAGTGACTTGCTCAATGGGGGCAGAGTTATTATCTGGAGGAATGTAGCTTGTAAATAGTCACCTACTAACAGTATATGATAGCTTTCTGCCATAAGGATAAAAGCTACATGACCTTTATCTATAAGCCCATGAGGAAGTATTCTATAGGCTCAGACCACTGCTGCTCCCTCCCTACTGGAGAAGGATGAAAGTATCTTCTCCTTCCTTGTAGTTACTGGACTAATGCCTGATTGACCTCTTGTTACTGATTCTAGGTTTTATTTTCCCCTGTGCTCTGTTGTCTCCAGGTTCTTAAAAATGGAAAACAAAGATATTATTTGCACTTGACTTCTTACCTTCTTCTACTTCGTTGGCAATGGCTTCCAGGTCATCAGCAGTGAGGAATTGATTTAAACTCAACCGTCTCTTCTTCAGAATCTTCCCATTGGCTGCCACCATCACCACACTCTTCTTGAGGGTAAGCTGGGGTGTCTTAGAGGTTTCAGAAGTACTCGGAGACATGAATTTATCTGTACAGTCCTCATGAAGTGGGTCATAGCTTGCATCATAGAAGGATTTCTATGAGGAAGGAGCATGGAAACTGAGGGGCTGCATATGGTCATAGGATGAGATCCTTTTCAGTAGAAGTTGTATTCAATAGACTTGGTGAGAAGGGTCTCTATTTCATCATTCTTCTCCCCGCTTCCCTCTCTTCTTCCCTCCCTCCCCAAACTCTCCTCTTTTTCTACCTCCCTCCCACCTTTCCCTAGGAAAGTCTGTTGAGAATGGACAGTGCCATCAACTGTCAGTGTAGAGAGGCAGTTGATCTCACTTAGGAGGGAGAGATTTAGGTCTCTGAACCTCTAGTTAGGGTGAAACCAAAACATCGAGGATTCAAGTTATTGCTGTTTTCTTCTGGTAGAAAAAATACTGCATAAGAATGGCAATCTTGTGAGCCATCTGGGTGGCTCAGCTGGTTAAGCCTCCAGCTCTTGGTTTTGACTCAGGTCGTGATCTCATAGTTCACGGTACTCTGGAATGCCCTTGATATATTGCTAGTGAAAAAAGCTGTATATAAAATTATATATGATATATTCCTAATAATTGTTCACATGTGTGTATGTACCTAGAAGAGACTTTAAGGAACATACCATAGTGGTGGCAGTGGTAAACTCTTAGTATGATCTATTTTTATTTTCTGGGATGGTTTCTCTCTCTGCTCCTCCCCTGCTCTCTCTCTCTCTCTCTCTCTCTCTCTCACACACACACACACACACACACACACGAAACAAAAATAAATAAACTTAAAAAAAAAGAATAGCAATCCCATAAGAATTACATCATTTGCTTACCTGATTCAGAGTGAGATGGTCAATTTCAGAACTGTATTCTTCATTTTCACTGTCAAACAAGATAATGAGAATGTAATTCTGTGTTTTACATCACTGCAGTCACCGGGCAGTGTATTTTAATGACCACATTAGCTTTGGGTAACAGACACCTGGTCATTACTGTCATCTAAGAAAATTAAGGACTTCTATACATTTACGTACATGTATACAGTAATTTGTGACTCACTAATTTGGAATTAGTAATCGTCGGGACAGGCCTTGAACTTTGTCTGTAAAAATGGGCCTTGGCTAACAAATTGAAGAGTTCTAGTTGAATTTCAGGGAAAAATGTTAACCTCCACAAAAGAGAAATGCTTTGGAGGCACCTTATTTTAATTTTAGCCAAATAGGTCATGTGTTACACATTGCTTTCATGTATTCACTAAAATAAATTTAATAGTTTATACTTGGGAACTAGTATAGCCACATTTTGATAGCCTAGTTTGTGTTAGTGTATATTAACAGGTAATGGGAATACCATGTTTGTTTAAAGTATTCTTTAATTTTAAATTTTATTCACTTACCCTACTCTTATGTCTGAATGAGGTTAGACTGTGTATGTGCATTCACATGCTAAAATTGCTGTTTAGCCATTGCCTGTTCCAGATTGAGATCCAGAAGTTTTCCTGAGAATGGTTTTTCTCTCTGGCAGTCCATGACAACCCAATACTGTATCAGAGCATGTGAACTTGACTGAGGCTGTGTCTAAGTAGATGTTGAAATTCACTAAGACACAGCAGACTGTAAAAATAGTTTTTCTGAAAAGGTGGCCTCCCTGTTAGTGCCATCTTAGTTTAACATGTGGGGTACCTACTCTTTCTGGATCTTCACTGAACCTGCCCTGACTTAAGCAGTAGGACACATCTCTATACCTTTGCCAGTTGGGCTCCATGCTAGTTACTGTTAACTCTGAGGTGGATTCTCATGTACCTGGATCCCTTCATTAAATCATAAGAGATAGAATTGATTTTCTACCTGTAACAGTTCTTCAGGTCTTCAAAGAGGTCAGGAACTTTGGCCATCTTGACTTCTGCAACAGAGAATACCAGTGACTGTCAGCCTAGCAGCCACTGAACCAAATGCCAGAAAAGGGAGCCACCTGTGCTTTGTGCTTCTTGAGAAACCTAATGAATGACTTAGCCCACAGTCAGCATTTTCCCCATTCTTCTTTTCACTCCCTTGAGTTATTTGCAAACGTATCTGCCTCCTCTACTAGATTATTAACTTCTTTTAGAAACTTGGTAGTTTTATGTGCCCAACCCAATATACTGTACACAGTAGGCATTCAATGAAAACTTGGATAAATTAAAGAAAAAAACCCCCACAAGAATGAGGTATTTGCCTTGCATAGATGCAAGAGAGAGACAGAGTTGGAAATTTCCAGTTTTCTCCTAATAGTTTGGTAGTCCAGATTCCCTCCAAAGGAAGGCTCAGCTGTACTCACCAGTGCCCTCATATGAAGCCAATTCCCTCAGTTCCCCATCAGCAGGAAGAATTCTCTGAAATCTGACTGTGATTCTAACTCACACACCAAACCAGGGAAGAAAGGAAGGAAGAGGCTTAATCTTCAGAGAAGGCGGTTTGAGAGACAACAGCCAAGAAGAAAAGCAAAATATATTTTAAAAGTCAAAGATGTGATAAGGACAATACCTTTGCTGATTCAAGCGCCAATGAAATGACTCCCTCTCTGCCTGGAGACTTGGCCCTTGTCAGGCTTCTTGGCCTTTTGTCTTCTTGAAGTAGGCGTGGTCTGTGTGCGTCACCGGGGAATTTACAGGGAAGAATTGTTTTGTATGGTTTTTATGTTCCTTTAACGAAACTGGCCAAAATACTGACACACTGCGTACTTGATAGTAGTGTTGCTTGTAGAGATTCCAGGAGTTTCTAACTTGGTTTAAGTTAGAGAAGTTTCATTTATTGAACTAATTCAATGAAACTAGTAAGTTTCATTTATTTATTGCTTTGTTCTGAACAGTTGTAAACATGCGGTCTTAGAAAAAGGGAAGAAGGGCAGGAAATGTAAAAACGTACAGTGGGGAGGAGGGGAGAACTCCTAAAATCAGACTTCTAGATGGCTGGAGTTGGAAAGGAGCTTGGGAGCTGTGGCTTGTGTTTTAGCTAAATTTGTTTTCTTGTACCTCAGGGCTGAGTATGAATTGATGGAATGCTTGGCAGCCCCTGGCAGATGAGGGTTGGCTCTGAGAGAAGATGATCTGTCTCTTCTGGGGAGGGAGGTTTGGTTGAATAGGCATAAATCATTCTCAGTGTCAGGAGACAGCCTCCTGGTTGGGGCAGGGTACGGGAGAGAAAAATGATACCCACAGAAGTCTTTTTTTTTTTTT